CTGCCAGCAAACTGCAAAAGGGTGACCACAGGAATAATTAAAACAAGAGCAAACGCCTGTATCGTGTAGCTGCATTTACGAAATGTCCCAGAAAAATAAAAGATTAAGTAACAGTATCGAAAAGAGTTAGGAAATAGACACGACGCAATATGCTTATAGATTCTATGTTAGATGAAATCCCATTACATAGGACCATAGTTTGCTGATCTGCCATATAGTTCTTACGGCACCAACTCATGAGGTTCATTTCTTAACTTCCTAAAGACTTAGTATCATCCATTGATTGTGAGAGAGTGCCAAAGATAGCTATCCTTTGTGGTGTGAAGCGACGGGCACTGAGGGAAATGACTAAGAATTTGAAAATGAGTGAAATGAAATTGGAAGGTGAACCAGTGTGAGAGACAGTATTGAGTGAATTGAATTCTTTACTTATTTTTCTGAATATTAGTATTCACTGTAGGTAATGTTGCGGCATTTTGTCGATAGCTAAACAAGGAGGTGCATTTTTTTTTATTTATTGTGAAAATGGAATATTTACTTGTGTCTTTAAAAAATGTAAATGATTGATATTGGATTATCATACTCTGCCCATGGTAAACATTGAAATTAAATTCTTTAAGTAAATTTTGAGATAAACTATTATTGAATCGTCATGATAAAAGTAAGTGAAGTAAATTGATATATAATAAAGTTATTTCAGTTGCCTTTCAGACATATAGATAAAGAAAGTTTACAGGCTTTCAATCTATAATTTATGCAGATTGGGCATCCCGCATCTTTTCACAGTGACTATAGATTTATAGAGAGATTCCGGGCTCTAATACATATAAACATATACATACATTTACATACATATACGTATGTACAAATAAATATATAATAATAATAATGATAATTTAGTTTAATTCCATCTGTTACACTGGTTGGTTTTGCTGTGACAGGCTGCCCATTTATTCTTACTTTCTAAATCATTCCGTGTGATAGAAATGGCAGGAGTTACCATCCACTGGCAGCGCGGATTTGATCACAGGTCATCAAGATTGCTGGACGAGAATGCAGCCACACACACACACATGCAGAAATACATAAATGGATATATACAGATGTGTGAGTTATCAGGTAATCATTCGCTGCACCATTAAGGCACTAGGCACGTATGCTTTGGATAAAAAAAAAAAAAAAAAAAAAAAAAAAAAAAAAAAAAAAAAAAAAAAAAAAAAATGGCCTTATATAAAACTGTATGGTGCAATCTTGCTGACCCACGATCAAATCCCGTTCTATTAGTGGAGGGCAACTCCTGCCATTCCTTGAACAGAGGATAATTTAGAAGAAAAAACAAACAGCCTTTATACATAATAAGAATATATTCAGCATGTACAATCTGGTTAATTCCATTATTCCATTTCATCAGCTCAGTAACTTATAAACAAACATACACACAAATTGTGTGAACGAATCTGCAATTTTTCATTTCCTAGTTTTAAGTGAGGCTTGACATCTATCATGCACATATAAACAAAGAAAACAAAATGGTATATTACTTCTTGATAAGATAAATCTTTTGTCACCTGATTTGGGCATCACTTCGGGCATTTCCGTCTCTGGCCTCGTGACCCTGCTTGACCCCTTTCCCGCTTTGACCCGATGGCCTGGAAGTCCCTCCGCACGACGATGGAAGGGCCGAGTTCGCGCAAGATTTCACTGGTAGATTCATGTCCTGTCTGTTCATTGTCAGCTGCTTCATTCTCCTCTGATTTTTTTTTTACTTGTATTTCGTATTTTCGAGAGTGGGTTGAGTTCAAGTGTGTTTTGCATATATATATCTGTATCTTGTTCGGATATACATGTAGTAGTATAGTGTGAATATTGTGTATTTCTATTTATATATTTTGTGTGTGTATTATTGATTGCTGAAAATAATGCCAAATAATACCGATGAAATCTCTTAGAGTTCATTTATTTTACTTTATTATATACATTATGGCAGTAGGGTCTAGTAGTAGTGCCTCGAGGGGGCGCCGCAGCTGCCGCCTGCCTGTTGTAGGTGCTGAAGAACTGCTGCTTGGCGGCGGCGACTTCGGGGTGTCGGCGACCTGGGGGGAGGAGCCTGGGAGTCCGGCGGCACGGTGGCTGCCACGGGGCCGGTCCACTTGGGCTGGACTGGGGCGGCGTGTGGAAGCTGTGCTGAGGGACGGCTGGGGCGTGGTGGTAGGGTGGGGCGTGGTGGGCGTGGTGGTGGGCGGGGGGGCGTGAGAGTGGACGGCAGGGACGGCACCCACGGTGGCCCTCAGCTGTGCCTGGTAGGCGCTGTTGAAGGCGTTGCGGGCGGCAGCCACCTCGTGGGTGTCGCTGACGGGGGTGATGGTGCCGTCGACGCCGGCGGGGACGGTGGCAGCCACGGGGCCAGTCCACTTGGGCTGCACGGGGCGGCGTGGTGGTACAGAGCCTGCTGAGGGGCGGCAGCATGGTGGTAGTAGGCCTGCTGGGGAGCGGCGGCAGCCTGAGCAGCACTGAAGCTCTGGAAGAAGCGTGCTCTCTCAGCCTGCACTTCGGGGGTGTATCCCGTGAAGGGACCAGCCGAGCACACTCCCAGCACTGCCAAGAAAACCTGCGAAAGAAGAATTTCTCATTGTTTGTGTTTGATGTCATTTTGATTTATACATTATGTAGAAAAAAATCTCTAAAAAAGAGAGAGGTAATGCACTTGAAGGCTTTTCCATTTCTTAAACTTCCACAGACCAAGCATCATGCACAGCTTCACTGCCACTGTCCCTTCTGAAACGAACATTGCATTGCTGTCATTACCAGAGGCGTCATGATTGTTTCCCGATCGAAGACCCGAACTGCATCGAAGCAAC